AGGGCAGCCATTGTGTGTGAGCACGTGTACACACCACGTACGTGTGCTGAGACATGTGGTTGTCCGGCAACAGTCACATGTCAAATAGCAATTTGCAACTCAGAACCACAGAGAGAGTTTGTTTTCCTCTTCTGTCTGTTCCAGCTATTTAACTGATGGCCGATGTCCTCATTAAGGGCTATTAGCACATCAGAATATGTTTGCTGAGCTTGGGAAGGGGCTAACCCCTTTTGGACATTGACCAAAATACATCTTCTAGGGTAGCCACCCCCTCCTGTTGGTGACAACGGTAGGAGTGAGAAGCACGAGGGCTCAGGATCCCCTTAAAACTGTACATCAGAGACAAGTCTTTTTTTTTTTTTTTAGCAGGAGTTTATTTTTCAGTCAAGGAATTCTGTAGTTGAGAATGTAACATCTTAAAGGGGATTTGGCTACATGTGGAAACATTGTTATTGTTACCCTGAAAAGGATGTTTCTTTGCTGTATCAGAACCAAATGGCAAATTAGGGAATGGCTGGTTTATAGGGACCTTTGATAGCTCCCAAGAAAGAAACTCAATGAGGGAGTGAATAGAAGTAGAGATCAGCGAAGAGAGGTTTGAAGGAGGCTACAGTTATATCAATAGAAGTGTGCTAGGAGGGAGGGTGGGTTGGACCCTCCATCCGAGGTGTAAGGTAGCAGGTGATCCTGGAAAGTCACTCTAAGGCCCAGAGTTAACCTGGCTCCTCGACCCATCTGCATGGCAGACCTCTGTAGGTGCTCTGATCCACTTCTGAGCCCTTGAAGGACACTGTTGATTGTGCTATCTATAGAGCCATGTCCATAATAGCCTTCTGAGTGTCCTGATAAACAGCACAGAGAGACGCATTGAACCCCACCTGGTGATGCCGCCCAGCCTACATTTAATTTAGATTTGTATTTTTCCCTCCCATGCTATCACTGTTAAGTATAAACTTGGTTAAATCTTCCTTTACTTTTGAGACTGATTACATATCTGTCTGCTCCCTCTCAGAGCACAATGTATGTCTAAAGGTCTTCCCAAACCACTAAATGATTAACAGTGACTTGGACTGTTGAACCAAGTCAGACTAAAGCACTGACCTCTATTTTGCAGGTAAGAGGCTAATAGGCCAGTGGAGGAGAGATTTTCGAGGAAAGTGCACAGGAAAATGGAAGTAGAGACTTGCAGGATGGGAACTGGTTTTTTCTATCAAGTTTCACTGACAGGAAAAAGAAACATACCATGTAGATAAAAAGCAACTCAGTGGAGTGTTTTTTTTTTTTTTTGAGAGATTCTCATACCTCCTGGAATAATGGCAGGATTGTGATCTTTGACACCAGATAGACAGGAGTTTAACCCCCAGGGCTGCTGGTTCCTACCTGTGTAGCCTCAGCAACCTAAGCTCTCTTGTGGCTCTGTTTCCTCATCAGAAATAAAAGACCATGTGTTTATCTCAAGTTGTTCCGAGGATTAAATTAGATATAATTTGTGAATGCTAGTGCCTATTAGGCACTTAACAAAGGCAGTTTCCCTTCCCTCTTTCTAACTTCTGCTTTTAAAAATTAAGATTTGGGCGTATGATACATGAATAAAATAAAGTGCATTTCAGTGTGGAATTTGGGCCAGTTAAAAGGAAAAAGGATCAGAGAACGAGAACAAATACGCGTGGGAGCAAACCGGAAGAGGGCAGGTTCACCGACTTGATGCACTTCCAGCAGGCTTTGGAAGGTGTGGGTTCACAAACCAAATAAAAAAAAATTTTTTTTAATTAAAAAAAAAGTAAAGAAAGAAAAGACTTACAAAAACATCGTCAGTCTGTTTGCCGAATAGTTCAGGCTTGGTCTGGAGACTGGAAGCCCAGGAATTTTGGAAATACTACTCTTTCTTCGTTTTCAGTGGAAGAAACCTCAAACTTCCTGCTGTGGAAAGTGGGGGTGGTCACTGGGTTCTCTGGTCAAGAGAAGGGTGGTTTCTTCCTCTGGATTGATGCTGCCACCTGATGTCTCTAAGTGGTACTGCGGCTTCACCTCTAGCTCTTAGGAGCGCAATGGAATTAAATGGAAGAGTCAGGCTCTTGTTTCTGGCAGGAGGATTTTAAGGAGGAAGGTAGGCGAGTGAGTTTTTAAAACCGAGTTAGCTTGGATATACACTTTTTTTTTTGTCATGGTCAAGAATTTACTCCTTTACATTTTCCTTTTTATTGTTACCGTAATTTTTCCAAGAGGATGTGTCAGAATGTGAAGTCACAAGACACCTGTAATAGGAGCTCTGTAGGGTGCTGTGACTCTGACCTTTTTCTTACTTTTGCTTTGCTTTTTAGGGAATTCATGGTGGAGATACGATGCGATCTGATTCCAGCCCTGGAAGCTCTGAGTAAAAAACTTGCAAAAACCCTTTTTCTATCACACTTTACAGGTTGTGAAGAGCTTCAATGGGAACATTTCTCATATTGGAGAGGCGAGCCTTAGCATTGCGATTTATAGATGACGAAAGAGGCTCTGAGTGGGGCCCGACCGAGGGGCCTGAGGGCACATCTGTGTTTTTCACTGAATCTCACATAGGGAGGCTGTTGGCTGTGGGTCAGGGGAAGGATTTCTCAAGAATAAGCTTGTTGACTGATTTGGATCACGAGGGACCTGGGAGATAAGAGTTTTTCATTTTTGGAATGGTGTAGGTGCCTGAAGGTCAGTGAGTGGCCCATAGGATCCCCTGATGGCCCCACCCAGCCCTGGTGCTCATTGAATGCCAGGTAGTTGGAAGCCCTCGCCTCAGGCAGGAGGACTTTGACTAATGAAGCATTAGACTAGGATTTCTAGTTTTGATCTCCTCCTTACCTGTTCCCGTCTATAACATGTGGAGGGTGGCATTACTCAATTCCCTGCTTTCTGGAGTATGAATAATGAATGGGGGTAGAGTGGCGCCTCACAGCATGCTGAAATGATGCGTGCCGTTTTCAGAACAGCTCCTGTTCACCGTGGGATGAACACGCTGAGGCCTGGGCTGGTCCTTTCCCATCACCCCGATTGCGTTAGTAGCTGACCCCATGTGCTGTTGGAGGCAGCGTCCTCGGAGGCCATGAGGACACCTGGACCTGGAGTCAAGAGACCAGCTCTTGTTCAGGCTCTGGCACTGGCTTTATCGCTGTGAACAAGTCACGCTTTCAGGGTTAGTTAGTGTCCTTAAGTACAAAGCAAGGAGAGGAGAGTCAGCATGGCTCGTTTCTGTGGCTCTTTGTAGTTTTGAACCCAGCTAAGCTTGAGAGTCTGACAAATGTCCTCACGCTTTGACTTACTGGTGCAGTCATGTGCCACATAACAATGGACTGCATATATGACCATGGCTTCGTAAGATTACAGTGGAGCTGAAAAATTCCTATCGCAGCCATCCTAATGTAGCCATCGTAATGTGGTAGCACAGATGTGTTACTCCTGTGTTTGTGGTGACGCTGGTGTAAAGAAACCCTCTGCACTGCCAGTTGTAGGAAGGTATAGCACAAGTATGTACAGTACATAATACTCAATAATTATGATAAATGACTATGTTACTGGTGTATGTATTTACTCTGCCTTTTTTTTTTTTTAAAGATTTTATTGGGGAACTGGGGGAGGGGACCAGCCAAGTTGTTGTTCAATCTTCGTTGTGGAGGGCGCCAGTCGCCATCTGGCTTCTCGTTGGCTGCTTGTGGCCTTTAAGCTCAAGGTGCGGTGCTGTGTTCAGTCTTAGTTGCAGGTGGGCATGGCCACCATCCCATGCAGGAGTTGCACCAGCAGCCTTGTTAAGAAGAGCACACGCTCTATCCACTGAGCCATCCGGGTGGCAGCTCAGCTCAAGGTGCCGAGTTCTGTCTTAGTTGCAGGTGGGAGTAGCCTACCGTCGAACAGGCAATCTTGTTGTTACACCAGCTGAGCCATCCTGCCACCTGTTGGCAGCTCAGCAACAGCTCAGCTCAGGGCGCAGTGTCACTGGCCCATGTGGGAATGGAACCGGCGGCCCTGTTGCTCAGCTTGTGCTCTTAAACCAACTCTTAATCAACTGAGCCATTCGGCCGGCCCTACACTATGCTTTTTATCCTTATTTTAGCATGTACTCTTTCTACTTATAAAGAAAGTTTGCTGTGAAACAGTACGCTGGGTTACACTGGCAGCAGCCTCATACATCTCGTGTTTACCGTATCTCTGAATCACATAATTTTCTGTTGTGCTTGATGTAATCTCTTGTTGTTTTGTACGGTAACATGCTGTATAGGCTTGTAGCCTAGGAGAATCAGGCTATACTATACAGGTGTGTAGTAGACGATACCATCTAGGTTTATGTAAGTGTACTCTATGATGTTCACATAACAACAAAATCGCCTAACAACATATTTCTCAGAACGTATCCCTGTGCTACACAGCACATGACTGTATCCTATATAGGAATCCAACCTAAGGAAGCACTCATGAGTACGTGTGTGCTGAGGTTGAGCTCAGAGGATGCTTCCTGCAGGCAGAGCAGGTCAAACAGCACAAAACCATTACAGCCCCTAAGTACAATAATAAAGGATTTTTAAAATTAGCAATGAATGCATCCGCCCAAGAAAATAGTGTGTGGCTCCTAAAAGTAATTTTCTAGAATAACATTTAATGACATAGTGGAACACATGATATTAAGTGAAAACGCAGTTTACCAACCCATGATCCCATTTTGCAGAAATAAAAGTATGTAAATACATGTATAGGGGAAAGCGTGGACCACTATATAGGAAAAGTGGGTGTCTCTGGGAGGCAGCTTCTTGAGTGATCTGTTTTCCTTTATGGTTATCAGTATTTTCTAAATGTCCTATGCGGAATGGTCATTGCTTTTGTACAAAGAGAAAATTGTAAAAGTTACTTTAAAATGTTTCATCCATTTTCATGGACATTTACGGCTCCTGCTGCATGTAGGGTTCTGTACTAAAAGCTGCCTGATTCCTCCAGAAAATGGATTCAAGGACTTCATGTCCCCTTTTTTGTCTCCCCAGGAAAGGCAGCAGCATGGCCAGCGTGTTGTCCCGGCGCCTTGGGAAGCGGTCTCTCCTGGGAGCCCGTGTATTGGGGCCCCCTGGGACTGCCCCACCTTCGGAGCCTCAGGCGGAGCTGCTGGAGGGGGTGCCTCCCCAGCCCTTCCTTGCATCTAAGGACACTTCCTGCCAGGAGCAGCCCAAGGAAGTCCTCAAGGCTCCTGGCACCTTAAGTCTCCAGCAGGTGGCCTTCCAGCCTGGGCAGAAGGTAGGTTGATATCCACGTGGACAGGTGTTTAATCTTTCCAGGTTTGGGGCTGGCAGGCCACTGGTGCCCTGAGTGACAGGCTGGGAACTCTATGGGCACAGGTTTGTGCACAGACCTTTCCCTTGCAGCCCTGGGGGCCCTTGGACAGTGGGCTTCTCGAGAGAGTGAACCATTACCAGCAGACCCAGGGTTCTTCCACAGCACTGCTGGCTGGAGGAAAAGCTGGCAAGATCTGACGTCTGACATCCTGGGCTTCCGCCTACTCAAAACCTCAGCTGCAAGCAGGGCCAGAACTCAGTTTCTCTTAATGTGCCTCAGCGTGCAGCTTCACAAAACAAAGGAAAGAATCTCAGGTGTATAAAAGAGAGAGAAGGTTGTGTCTCTGAATTACCTTTAGATATTTTTCAAGAGAGGGAGGTGTTTGTTTAGTCAGAATACCATTTGAATTTCTTTCCCAGTGTGTTTTCCCCTTGTGACAGGGCCCAGCCATCACCTGTATCTGATATTATCACTAGGCCCAGGTACGTGGGCTTCCCTTTCATTGTCGTCTCAAGGGCCCATAAGTAGAGACTGTCTTCGGTCTCCCTGCTGAGGCTTCTGTTGTCCAGGCCTCGATTTCCAGTGGTAAGGTGATCTTGACCCTTGAGAGAGGTCAACCTACCTCTCCACCCCTACCACCTTGTCCCCAGGTAGACTCAGAAGTCTCTGAAGGGCAAAATGCAGGGTGAGCAATTCAAGGCAATTGTTGGGAGCCAGCAGATATATAGGACTTCAGAGACAAGGCAGGTCAAGAAATCAGGAGGACGGACACAGATTCCAAAAGGATTTCAGTGGAGAATTTAATCCATTTACGTTTAAAGTAATTATTGATAGGTAAGGACCTACTATTGCTGTTTTGTTCATTGTTTCCTGACTGTTTAGTAGTTTGTTTTTTTCTTCCGCTCTTTGTACCTTCCTTTATGGTTTGCTGATTTTTATTTTGTAGTCTATGCTTTGATTAGTTTCTCTTTATCTTTTGCATATCAACTATAGTTTTTTTTTTCTTTGTGGTTACTACAAGGCTTACAAAAAACATCTTATAGTTATAACAGTCTATTTTAAGATGATAGCACCTTAGCTTCAATTACATAGAGATTCCAAGTTCAGGAAAAAAAAAAAATCCCAGAAACTGACATGTTCACTTTCTCCATATAGAGAGTTTATAAGGATCTGTTTTGGAAAGAACGAATCCACTGTGTCTTGTCTGGGTGCTCAGGTGGGAAGCAGATACCTGGGAGCATCTGCTTGAATTAAGATGAATGAGAGAACAGTTTGTGACAGGTGATTCTGGCTCCCAGAACGTAGGGCATATGGGATGAGCACCACCGAACACTGATCACTGGTTGCTGTTTTTCTCCCTTCTAGGTTTATGTGTGGTACGGGGGTCAGGAGTGCCCAGGACTGGTGGAGCAGCATAGTTGGGCAGAGGATAAGGTGACTGTCTGGCTGTTGGACCAGAAGTTACAAATCTGCTGCAAAGCGGAGGAGATGTGGCTGGCCGAGCTGCAGGGCCCCGCTCCCCAGGTGCCACCTCTGGAGCAGGGAGCCCAGGCCTCAGCCTATAGGCCTGTCTCCAGGAACATTGACGTCCCAAAGAGGTTTGTGTGGGAGAACCTGGGCTCTGAAAGTCACGTGGGTGGTGAGGTATGGGGTTGCGGGATGTCTTGTGTTGGGGAAGGAATGTGGAAGTCCTAGGTGTCTAATTGTCAAGATATTGGACAGATGGGACACAGAGAGAGGAGAGGGCATCTTTTAGAAAAACCCAGAATGGTATCTTTTCTTCCCCATAACTTGATGATGGGTGACTATCTTTGGTTTGACTAAGGGCTGTTGTTTTTTTTTCCTCCCTTTATGCTTCAACTAAAATTAGTTCTTTGTTTTTCATGATGAGATGAGGGAGAAAATGGCTCAGATCAGGAGCCAGCACACTTATTCTGAATGGGCCAGATAGTCAATAACACAGGCTCTGTGGGCCAAGCAGCCTCTGCCACGTGACTCAGCTTTGCTGGGGTTAGTGTGAAAGCAGCCACAGACCGTATGGAGACAAATAGGCACGGCTGCACGCCAATCCAACTTTGCTTATGGACATTCAGGTTTCAAATTTATATAATCTTTGTGTGTCACATGTCAAGAAGTGATATTCTTCTTTTTGATTTTTGGAATCATTTACAAATTATAAAACCATTCTTAGCTCATGAGCCGTACAGAAAACAGGCAGCCGGCCATGTTTGTCCTGCAGCCCAGAGGTGGCGGACCTCTGGCTTAGATATTCCAAACCCTTGATCTTGAACGAAGACTGTGTATCTCACTTTAGAATTTTATGATACAATTTTCCCCTGAGAACACTTATATATATATCCTAATTTCTATGTTGTGTGTACTCTGTGTACACGGATCTTTTAAGATTAGAAAAGACAACCTGCTGATGGAGATTGTCTTATATACAGGATGTGGAAGCAGTTAAGCCCCGTTCCACCTCTCTTTCTGTGTTCGTCTGCGGGTGCTCTGTTATCGACAGTGCGTGCACCCAGTATATTGAGCCCAGACCAGAACACTATTCGGGATGGTGAATTCAGTGGAATGTTGGCAGAGAACTTGTTTTCCTAGTCTGTGGACATAAAAATACAAAGATCATGTCAAAAAAAAAAATAGCAGGCGGGGGGGAATGCTAATATGTTGAATATTATTAGCTGCTTCAAACCCAGTCACATATTTTGGTGGCTCTGAATTGTAAAGAATGGATTAATACAGTCCTTTGGAATAGATGAGCCACCTATACTTATACTAATACTTTAGTCTTAACTTATAGACAGCTCTAAATTTACTTCCACATAATGTAACTGTATATGGATTTTAAAAAATTACACATAAACTTTTATAGGCCTCTGCTGTGTACAGCATTGAAATTCGCATCAGGAGATTTATTTTAGTGTTTCTGGTTTACTAGCTCATTGACCTATTTACCAGGTTTTGTTGATATTCAGAAGCTCACAGAATACCTAATCATTTTTCCTGGGGGGAGGGGAAGGAATTGGTTAGTGTAATTGTTCCCTCTTAAATTTGAATGTCGTTTGGGGAAATGAAGGTAATTTCAGGCTTTTGAATTCCAGCAGGCATCTTTTATGCCCATGCTTTATTCCATTGCTTCGGCTCTTCTCCCTTTCACCCCAAATAAAATTCTCTATTTTAAGCTGCAGAGTTAGCGTTAGGAAGTGAATTCAGAGGAGAGTGGAGCTGCGTCTGGGTGTTAGCATTGGAATGGGGACCGACTTGCTTATACTTATGCTGGGGTTAACTGGTACTATAAACGTAATTCAGGATGAGTATTTTTCATGAAGAATGAGGAGAGACCTTCATGCTTTATATAACGTACTCACTGGCTGATTGGAGTGTGTGTGTGTGTGTGTGGGGGGGGCCGGGCAGTCCAGAAATATAAGATGATCACGTGACCAGCAGTCTCAGGAAGTAACCTCTGGCCCTCACCCTCTTGAATCCAGGAAGTCGGATGCAGTTGAAATGGATGAGATGATGGCTGCCATGGTGCTGACGTCCCTGTCCTGCAGCCCGGTCGTGCAGAGTCCTCCCGGGGCCGAGGCCAACTTCTCTGGTGAGGAGGGGGCCCTTGTTGGGTTCTGGGTATGGCAGAGGCCCGCGACTGACTTCCTCTGCTTTGAGCAGCTAATGGCCAAAGGACTGGCCTGGCGATAGGATTTTGGAGTCTCTTCTCACTTGCATCCCAGACTGGCTGAGGGACATTGAGTTAGATGCTTCCATTCTTTTTCCTCAGCTTCCTCATCTGGGGAGAAGTTTCCTGGTGCATTGTGAAGATGATTGAGTACGGGGCTGAGCCACACTGGCCACTTGAGTAAGTTCTTCTGTGGGAGTAAGTCATTGAGGCACTTTGGTGGGCGCCTGAAACAAGGCCAGTAGAGGAATATTTAGTTCACAAAGGTAGAAACTTACTAAATGATCCGCTAGTGGCCTCTGAAGATTCATGCCTCTGTTCCAAGTGCCTAATTCAGCCTTGTAAATTAGTGTGGGCCTACAGGCCAATGACCTGGAATAAATGAGCTGAAGTCTGAAATAAATCTAATTGCTTAATACAAAACAATAGCATGACTTCACAGCAAATTTGTAAATTAAAAGAAAATTCTTCCAGTGCGACCCCCTAAATACGTGATCAGTAACATAGGAGGAAGAAGGGTTGCTGGATATTAATAGTCTGATGAGACTGGTAGTGAACCTGAACTTTTGTTTTTGAAATTCGTTATAGGGCTGCCTAACTTACTCCCAGGGAATAACTTTTTCATTGGTGAGATTTAACTGAATTGAAAACTACTTAAAAGCTTGTAGGAAAATATGGAGTTAGCTCTGAACATATACCATAAGGAAAGGGGCCTTTGCAAGTATCCCTCATAAGCAATCTTCCTAGATAGAAAGTAAATTTAAAAGAGTGATAAAGCCGATTCACTTACTTTACCCAAAGCCGGTCATCCGTGATGAGGCTGCTAGAATAAGTCCTTGTGTCTGATGGCACCTAGTGGTGACATGTAGCATTGTGCACCTGCTCTGTTAGCGTTTGGTGCTACGCAAGCAAAATGGGGAGGAAAGGAGTCAATTTTAAGTTCTGAAATTCTATAAGTATAGGAGATCCAGGAGGTTGGTCAATAGGAGGAAGATTCAGAGAAGTGTCATAAAAGGAAAGAAAATCACTGACTCCACTTCCCATCAGGTTGTATGTGCATGTGTGTGCAGGGTATATATATGCCCATGTACACACATACCCCAATGCCAATATATACACATCTAACTGATAATATGCCATGATGCTGATATCTGAAGTCCCTTTTGGACAAAATATTTTAATTGTGTATTAAAGACTTCTTTCCATTATAATATATTTCTAATCTTGTGGTTGAAGTCAGTGGAAAAATAAGGCTTCCTTGGCAGCTAATGATGCTGAAGTGTTTTTGCAAGGTGAGGTCTACACAACAACCAAACCCTTGCTCTAATCGGGGTTACTGTCTGCACAGAAGTGACAATTCCCTTTGGCCTGTGTACTGTTAGGGTGGCTCTGTGTGTGTGTTTGTGTGGCGAATAGAGGGGATGACACGTATTTCGTAGAGGCCGCCATCAAGCCTCACTGCTCTGCATTTGCAGGGGAGCACTTTGTTTTCATGGGATAGACCGTTACCCTGCCCCAGGAAATCTTAGGATCTACGGTTCATTTATGTTCCTCTTACAATGCATAGATTAATTTACGGTAGGAGCTTATTGCTTTGTTTTATAGTTTTCTTCCTTTGTGTGCCCCTTGGCCAGTTTCAGCGTTTGAGCCATTTACATGGTTTTCTGTGGAAAACAGCTGTATTGTAGGGTTTCCGCCCTTTGCCTGCCCTTTATCTCCAGCATCCTGGTCATTCTAGATGTAGCATTCTGCTCCCTTGCCCTTTTCTCCCTGAGTGGACATGTGTGGGGGCCCTTGACCTGTTGGCCTACTGGTGGGTCCTGAGTTCCTCCCAGAATGCTTACCCTATTTTAAGACCCATGTGTAGATGTCATAAACTCTTGGTTTCCAGGACGTCATAGCTTTGAGACTTGATAGTGATATTTACGGCGAGAAGAGTGCATCCATCCCACTCTGTTCAGGCGGGCTTCTCCGAGCACGTGCGATTTCACTAAGGAGCGCCTGCATGGGGAACCTGGAATGCTGGAAGTCTTATGTCAGGGGTCTAGATTAGCCTAGAAGCAGTTTGGAACGTGGAACAAGGTGAGCGACAAGCAGTAGGGTTTTTATCTTGGCCACAAGGGATGTGTTAGTTGATCTCAGAATCCAGGGTCAGGAGGCCGGTGTTGGGAGTTGGGGCTTTCGGGTGTCATAGTTTTGTTTGTTTGTTTTTCCCCCCTGTAAAACAGGATTTCAGACTCTTCTATACTGTAAATGAACCTGAGTTTATGGAAGAGCCTAGGTTGGGCCTATAGCAGTCTGAAGACAGGCAATTTAAAAACTGAAACGTTCACCTGTTTCACTGTGATCTTCCTATTCAGACGCACTGCTGGGAGCAAGGCAGCAGGTTCAGGGCCACATCGGGCATAAGAGCGTCATGTCGTCTATAATGGTTCTGAATTGCTCTCAGAGCTTATCTTTCCTTCTCTAAATATGTGACTTACGGATAAAAGCAGGAACCACCTGGGCGGTAGCTACCTCTGCTAAGTGTTACTCGTCCCAAATAGCTTTAAGAGCTGGCTGAATGGTTTTTTTCTTACATGCAGCTTTTGATGGCCTTGCCTGGGTTTAAATGATCGAAAGGCATTTTTCAAGAAAGCCTGGTCAACAAACTCTTAACCTGGACTTTCTGTCCTACTCTGTGGGGGAGGCTTCCCACGTGGTGTGGGTCTGTGCATGTTCTCACCCACCCTTTTAGGCCTAGAGGCAGGAGAGGCTCTCCCACCACCCGCCTTTTTTTTTTTTTAACATATAAAGTGAGAAACACATTTTAATTAGGCTATCTTTCTGTCAATAATATACAAAACGAAGTTGCAGTGTGTGTCTGTTGGTCAGTAATTATCAACCTGGCTATGGCAGAAAACTCCCACTGGAGCGGAGCAGGGCTACCTAGCATTTCTGCAATGTAGGGACCCAGTTGGCATTTTTACCAAAGCTCATAAAGGGGAGGTTTTGGGTTTTTTGTCCCCCTGGAGTGGCAAAGCCAGGCAGAGCCAGAGCCAGGAGTTGGATTCAGGAACACAGACTCCAAGCTAGAATTTCGTGGTCTCTGACCCGGGCTGCTGTGCAGAATCTGGTGTAGACAGGGCCATGCCAGGAGGCCTGCTTGGGCACAGGCCTGTGAGCACCCCCTGTCTTCTCTCCGGCCAGCTTCCCGCCAGGCCTGTGACCCATGGAAGGAGAGTGGCGATGTGTCTGACAGCGGCAGCAGCACCACTAGTGGGCACTGGAGCACAAGCAGTGGCGTTTCCACCCCCTCGCCGCCCCACCCCCAGGCCAGCCCCAAGTACCTGGGGGATGCCTTTGGCTCTCCCCAAACTGATAATGGGTTTGAGACCGATCCGGATGCTTTCCTGTTGGATGAACCAGCTCCACGGAAAAGGAAGGTACATGGTGCAGTGTGGGCGCGAGCTCAGGCTGGTGGAGCTGACCTCTGCGTGAGGCCACTCATGGAGGCGACGTCCTCGGCGTGCTCAGGCTCCATCCCATTTCAGTTTCCCTTTGCGGCTTCCGTTCCCTCATGATATTCCCAGGAGTCCTCTTTAGTGCCAGCTCTTTTCCCCTTCCACCTCGGCCCCAATTCCTGCCTTCTTTGCCACACTCCTTCAGAGGCCTGTGCACGTGAGGTTTGGCCCCCCGGTGGGTTTGACCCACAGCACCAAGCACTGCTGCTGGCCACCAGGCCCATCTCCCGGGCCCCTGCATGTTAGTTTCTTTGGCTCCAGAGAGTTCCTTCCCTAGAGCGTTTCTGGGTTCTGTTGGAAGGCAGCTGAAGTCCCCCCGGGGTGAGGGTGAGAGCGGGGTGAGGGAGAGGAATATATCCTGATGACCCCATCTCCCTTTCCCCTAGAACTCCGTGAAGGTGATGTACAAGTGCCTGTGGCCGAACTGTGGCAAAGTTCTGCGCTCCATTGTGGGCATCAAGCGACACGTGAAAGCCCTCCACCTGGGGTAGGTATGGAGCCCAGGGTTTCTGCCTGGGGTCCCGCTCAGGTCTCCTGCACCCTGCTGATTCCGTGACCCACGCCCGGACCTCTTCCAAGACAATGACTAGCCGAGAGCACCACCTGGTGTCTGTTCCTGGCCACTGTGCCCAGTAAAATAGCCGGTGGGAGAGAGATCTCGGCTGGGAAGGCAGAACCCTCCGCCCGAGGTGAATATTGATGCTGTTCATGAGAAGGGAGCTCCGTCCTCCCTGTAGATGCATCTTCTTACCTCACTGTAGGAAGCAAGGTGTGTTAGTTCTGGGTAGAAATAGGGCGTTTTGGTGAGACCCCTTTGCGAGGTCTGCACCTGCTTTCCCTCGGGGACCTGGGGCTCCATTAGCACTGCCGCCCCGGAGCCCGGGCTGTTCGTGGCACAGGAACTGGCTGACAGCACTTTCCCTCGAGGAGAGAACATGGCCACAAGCGGGGGAGGCCCAGACAGGTCCCGTGGCAGCGCTCCAAGGCAGATGACTCCCACGGAAGGCGAGGTTTGCTCACACTCTGTGAGAGAAACCTTTGGTGCCAGGGGACACGGTTTCTGTTGATGTGCAAGCATGTCCCCCCCTGCGACACTACACTGGAGCAGACTCCTGGGTGTTCTCTTGGGCTCCTTCCCTGACTTGCTGGGTGGCCCTGAGCAAGCACGCCCTCTTATGCCTTGGTTTCCCCCGTGTGTGAAGGGAGGCCACTTGTCCCCTATCATCAGTATGTCTTCCTCCCACAAAGGGACACTGTGGACTCGGACCAGTTCAAGCGGGAGGAGGATTTCTACTACACAGAAGTGCAGATGAAGGAGGAAGCTGCTGCTGCTGCTGCTGGCGCCCCCACAGCGGACCCAGCCTCCACCCCCAGTGTGACCAGCCCGCCCCTTGCCATTCTCTCACCACCTCCTCCCAAAGCCCAGCCCTCAGGCCCGGAACACCCTGGGCTGGAATCTTACCTGCCCTCTGGTGCTCTCAGCAAGTCAGCTCCTGGCTCCTTCTGGCACATCCAGGCCGACCATGCATACCAGGTGTGGGGCTGGGGCATGCTGGGAGCTCAGCTTTGTGGGCCGGGTGGACGTTCAGTGTCTGACCTGTCAGCAGCTAGCCTGATCACAGGACACTGAGCAGCACCCTGATTGAAGGCTGAGCTTTTTAGCTCAATCGCTCGTCTTTCGCTTCTACCAAGAAGAAAAGGAAAATGACTTCACACTCGATACATGTGGGAATTCCCCAGTTCATCAGTGGCTGTCTTGAGTGGTTATTAGAAATCTGGCGAAATCGCTGATGGATTGCACTGGGGAATCCGTAGCGCATTTTTTGTTTTGAATACCTACTGTATGTCAAGCAGTGGGCTAAGCTTTTCCTGTGGAAGAGGAAGACAGAGTCTCTGACCTTGTGATATGTGTGGTTTAGCTAGAGAGAAATGGATATGAAACTATGATTAATTATAATAAATAGTTAATGTACCTTACTAGAGGGATTGTCGTGGGTACAGGAAGGACCACGCTATTATGCCTGTGTGGTTGGAAAAGTTGTCATGGAGGGGGTGACCTTTAGGATGGTCCTCACTGCCCATGGTAGTTATTCAGTGAATGTACAGCTTGCTGTGTGCCACTTTTTCTTAAAATCCTTTTATGCCTACGGCTTGATTTTATCAGACTCTGAGCTGATTTGCAAGTTAGTCATTCAAAAGCAGTGCTGTCAATCAGAAAGCCTTTATAAAATGAGCCAACTCTCCTCCTCATTAGAATGAGTGGTCACTTAGCTATTTCATGTTTGGCCAACTTCAGGTGGCCCTTTAGGCAACTGACCAACTCTGTGAGATGGGGCCTGGAGAGTGTGGCTGGTGTTTTTACAAACAGACTTAAACCTGGAAAGCGTTGCCACTTCCAGGTGGTTGCTGGGGACACCATACACTTTATGCAGCAATGTCACCTGTGCCCAGAGGCTTTGGGACATCTTTGGGGAACTGCCTATAGCATGTTCTTGTTAGGTGATCCAGCCAAGAAGTTAATCCGCTGTGATGATTAAGTCATGAGGCTAGCAAGTATACCAGCTCTAAGAGGGGTTCCCCCAAAAGATAAAAAGATTGGAGCCTGGGACTAAAGAGGCAACTTCAAAGAGTTGGGTGCTCTTATATTTCTCTTGGGAGGAATAGCCTGGTGTGTAGTAGTTTCCGGTTAGAGATGCACCTTTGCTGCAGACCCTGAAGTTATAGGGAGGGTGGGTAGACTCTGAAAGCTTCCTGAGCTGGGGCCTGGGCTGACCCTCTCTTGTCTCCGGCAGGCCCTGCCGTCCTTTCAGATCCCCGTCTCGCCACATATCTACACCAGTATTAGCTGGGCTGCTGCCCCCTCCACGGCCTCTTCCCTGTCTCCGGTGAGTGCGCCCATCTCTGAGCCTGTCAGCACTTCGGGGCCCTGGAGCAAGCCAAGGGCCCTTCCACACATCACATACCCAGTGCAGGAGGCCGTCTCCCCACACTTGCTTGCATCAGCGCCCAAACTTCTCGAAGCTCTCCGTGTACCCGGCCCCTTACCTAGCACTCCTCAGCTAGTCACAGCCCCGCTTAGAAGGTGGAAGGAGGGTGCTTACAGAGGAGGACCCAGATCAGTCAAGTGTATTGCCAAGAAAAATCATGATGTGAGGCCGGGTCAGTGCCCTGTTTAGCCGTGCGTGTCTGTGGATGCTTGTTAAGAAGGGAGAGAATGTGGGAAAGCTGGAGAGGAAGCGGGGGAGGCGGGCAAGAAAGAAGGTAGGAATTTGTAGGGGGCTGGGTAGGGTAGATCAGAAATCTCGAGGCCACTATGAACCAGTGCCTTAGGTTGCTTGCCTGGAAACTAAAATAAATTGAAAGTCACTTGAGCCACACCTAGTAGGTTCTAGTCTTAAATATCGCCTACAGGAAGGTATCGCACGTTGTAAAGCCTAAGTGCCCGAAGGTGCCATTGAGGCAGTGTAATCCTTCCTTTTTTGTTACGTATGGTGACTCCATCTAAATCTGCAGCAACAGTCTCTAAGGTGGCCAGGGCAAGTGGCCCCTACTGTATCAGGAGCATGGCTTAAAAGCCTACTCCTCAGTCTCTGGCCGCTCCTCCCTACCTGGCCCCTGCGCACCTCGGCCTGGAATAACCTTCCAGAGAAGGCATTCTGGCCTGGCACAAGGAGGGGCTCTGCAGGCGTGGCTGCCTGCCCTGCAGGATGGTTCTCTCACTTTTCACCTGTGCTTATGGCCCTTCTTTCTGTGCCCAGGTCCGGAGCCGGTCGCTAAGCTTCAGCGAACCCCAGCAGCCGCCACCTGCAATGAAATCTCACCTGATTGTCACTTCTCCACCCCGGGCCCAGAGCAGCACCAGGTGAGACAGACAGTTTGCTTCCGTGGCCTCCCTCTGGCTTCCGTCCTTGCCATCTCCTCTGCAAGTATGGACTCCGAGTTCACCTGACCCTGGTCTCTAGGGTTAGTCCCCCGAGCAGGGGCAGAGTGTGTGCAGCCCAGCTGGATACGCTGGGTGCTGGGGAGGCTCTCCTTCTCTGGCCCCTTGGGCTCCCACCCCTTCTAGCATCCGCTTGTTTGCTCAGCCTAACACCTGGCCACACTCCAGGTCTAACCACCAGTGTGTGACTGTACCCTCATTACTCTCTTGGCAGGAAGGCCCGCGGGGAGGCTAAGAAGTGCCGCAAAGTATACGGCATTGAGCACCGGGACCAGTGGTGCACAGCCTGCCGCTGGAAGAAGGCCTGCCAGCGCTTCCTGGACTGAACCTGTCGAACCTGAACCCATCTAACCGGCTCCTCCTCTTTGCGCCTGGCCTGATGGCAGCCAGATGACAAAAGGCAGACGTGTGAACCCTCAGCAGAAACCTAGAGATATGAGTGGACACTGGGAGTTTGGGCTCTATTGACTTAGGTTTAATGCTTAAAACCTTTTTCCCTCCCTTGTGGGAACATTTTACTTTATTTTTTAAAAAAGAAACGAACCTATTTTTTTCCCCTCAAATAGGAGAGAGCCAAAACTGACCAAGGGTATTCTGCATCAAACCGGAGACCAAAGAATTAATTATCTTCCCTTTTCCACAACCCCTCTCTCCAGGGGATTAGTTTGCATGCATCAAAAGAAGGAACAGCTCATTCTGTTTCCTGCTGAGTTGGTGAATTCTTTGCTTTCTCAACTCTTCCAGAAGGGACTATGAGCAAGATGAATTCACTTTTCTTAAAAAAAAAAAAAAAGTTTCTGGCTGATGACTCAGAGAGCAGGACCTGCTGTGGGTGGGATAGGATGAGTTGGGGTGTCTGGGTGATTTTCAAGGTGGAGCCAGTCGCCTTCTTTACCTGAATCATGGACAAGGGAGAGCTTGTCCTTACCAAGCAGCTTCCAAGGAAGTAAAAGGAAAACCCTTTCATGGGGACAGCTATTTGAATCTGGGTCCCCACAGACGTTGGGTGGTATCCCAACAAATATTGTGTGGTTTCTTCTCAAAGCCCATACGAATAGGTTTTTATAAAGACTGTCCCCAAATAGCTGAGCCAAAAGGCTAATATGAATTCACTTTTTCAAATGTGGCTGTTAAACACTACCTTGATGTTCTTTCCTCTTGAGGAAAAGCGAGAGGGTTTTGGTATCTGTGAAAGCTCTCTGCTGTTATCTGAATGAATAGACTCTCTCTTGAGTTCTCTCCCTCCAGTGATGGAAATGACACCTCTAAAACACTTGTTGTTTTTTTTTATGTTATATTCAGAAGCCATTATCTGATTAAAGTTCCCTTTTATTTGGGCGGTAGTTTCCTCTTTGTCTCTGGTCTCACCAGGGATTTCCCCATTTCCCTCCGAAGGCTGCAGGCAGGGCTGGCCTGGGGGAAGGAGAGAGAAGAGTTCAGACAGAAAAGTAAGTGGCAGCTTCCTTTGATGGAGGAGTTGACAGGTCCCCCGATATTTGATGGGCTTACCTCCCCTCTGGGAGCAGTCTGATCTTCCTTAGGTGACAAGTAGGACAGAACTCTTCAGTCAAGGCAGGAGGCTTCTGGATTTTTTTTATCAGCCTTGGTCCAGTCTGGGTGATGAGGAAGGTCACTTTGATGCGGTGTGACCTTACCAGATACCTACTGAGCCCCGTTTCTTGCCTGAAGGCAGGATAGCGAAGGTGAAAGAGAGCCCTGAGAAAATCATGTTAGGAGGTCCTGGGGTTGGATTCCTAGCTCCTGGTGTTTCTGGAGGCCTCAGATATTGAGGGGAGATTGGAGAGCATTGCTTGGGAGGTAAATAAGCAAAGCTGTTGTGGAGAAGGAGGGAGATGTGGGGAGTTCAATGCCATACCAACCAGTGGTGGGTTAAGACAGGTGGCTGCGCCCTGAGAGTGGGCACGCGTTTCTTTTGGAGCCTCACCTTTCTTCGGAGCATGACTGTGGGGATTCCTCGGGGCCACGGTGCCCAGCTGCCTTAGACCCATGTCCCGGATGTCAGGGGCTCAAGGAACCCCACTAAGCCACCTCTCTGGGAACTGAACAGCAGCATGCACCCCTTGACTTGTCATTGAGGTTATCCTTTTGGTCCCAGGTGGAAATACCTGGCTGTGGAAGCCCCTTTTGCCCCTTCACATGGGAAATATGCGTATGCGTCTCAATTCGAGATACGTTGAGTGTTAGAAAACCTGCCAACCTAAGAATAGGGTCTTGATGTTTGTGAAGGGTGATGGGGACCTGGGTTTGGTGATGGAAGGGAAAGACAGTTATGCACAGGTGTCTTTGGTGGTGATGGGTATATTTTTATAACTTAGTAAAAAAAAACAAAAAACACAAAAATGGATGTGGAATCTGTCCCTTGGTAAAGCTGGAAACCAGACCAGCCAGAGGTGGCCCAGGGTTCTTCTTCCTGTCCCTTCAGCTCTTCTGAGAATGAAAAGCTGACAGCAGGCTGTCGCTTGTCCTGACTCTACTCATCTCCCATGCTGTCCATTTTCAGGCCTTCTTGGGGAGGGGAGGGAACATTTGCGATGTGGGGACTCTGCCCAGCAGCGTCGCCCCTTCCCTTCTTAATCAGAGCTCTTGCTGAGTCTCGTCTTTAGAAAAGCTGTTTTCATTTCCCCTCTCAGTTTGGATTGTGTAGATATAACTGGATATGAAGATTATCTCTAAAGGAGGTGGGCTTCTCCTGTTACTGGTACACAGGGCAGTCAAGGAAGAGAGAAAGCAGAAATTGATGAAACAATTTAAAAACTGAGGTGGTTTTATTTTTTTTTATTTTTTATGTTTTACTTCGGTGAGGCTTTTCCTGTCTGCATTTGCTCCTCCCCTTTCAGGCGGTGGCCTCCTCTGGCCTCCTCTGGCCTCCCTCCTCCTGTACCTCCATCTCGTGGCTGTTGTGTTGGTTCTTGACATGTGGTCTGTCCTTGGGGTTGCCCCCTTTGTTTCTCCTAGGAGGGTGGGGGTGGTTGTGAACTGATCCAGCAATCATGCCTGGTTTTTTTTTTTTTCATCTCTCTCCCTACTTCCCAGCCCACCTGGGCAGCGGAATCTGGTAGAAGGTAAGATGCCGTAGGTGCGCATTCAAAACTAACAGGACTGATGGTCAAAAGCAATTACCTTGGGAAACTTTATTCCCAAGTGACATTACTCTTATTCAAAATATTTCTTGGAATTACCTTGGGAGTCTGTGATGCCTGCTCTGACCAGCCTTAATGATCCTCAATCTGCACTCGTGCTGATTCAGTGCAGAGAAAGTCTGTCAAGTGAAAGCCACAAGGTGCAAAGCACAAGGACTGACTGAAATAGCTTGGATTTCATTATGTGACGTGTAGCCGGCTGGAAAAGCCAGGTTGGAATGTCAGAGAGCATTTTGAGCGATGTCCACATTGTCACAGTAAGCCTCTAGCTTGATTCCTTAGAGGACGTCATTAATTTGGATGTGGAAACTGATTTGTTGGAAGAAATCTGTCCTGTTACTTTCTGGTCCTCCCAGGTTCTGACTTGACCAGGGGCGCACAAGCAAACAAACAGACACAACAAAAGAAGAGGGAGATAAATCCCATCTGTGAATTTGTCTTATCGGCGCCTTTTCCCGCAGCTGTCTTCCAAGTATTATTTTTACTGTTAAAAAGTTTTTTTTTTTAAATGTGAAATGTAATGTTTTTACAGCAACAATATGAAATATATTTTATAAGGAATAAAATGGTACATTGTCTGATTTAATGTGTTCCTGTCCCTCTGGCCCTTCCCCCTGCAGTGGATGATTGTCATTGTCCTTGGTGTTAAACAAATGATATCTGTGCACACAGATTCATTTCCTTAGAATAACCACAGGTGACATGACCAGGGACCAGGCCAAGTGCTTACAAGGATTACCTCAGTAATCCTGTGAAGCAGTTACTATTATTATCCCTATTTTACAAATGAAGAGAGTGAGGCACAAAGGTTAAATAACTCACCCAAGGTCACACACTGGGAAATAATGGTACTAGGATTGTAATCCAGGCAGTAGTCACCGTTTTCTGTACTTCTTATATTGACAATGGGGAGCAGGTTCTTGGCCATATTCCTGAGTTTTTTGGGAAGTGAGCAGGTTACTTAGGAGAAAATAAGTCATCACACTCTACTTTTGGTACAAGTTCTGGCTTGTTCCATAGGGAGCAACATGGGCCACCCCCTGAATTCATCGATTCTGTGTTCTGTGAAGGTCCAAGTGGTCAGATAAAGCTGGCCTAGGTGGAAAGGGTGTTGGGAGCAGAAAGCAACATCCCACCCTTGCAACACTGACTGCAAGGGACTGACTGCTTTATACAATTTTAGTTTCTGGGACCATGCGCTGTCTCTGGGAGCAGATTCTAGGAACCCTGCACAGGGCCTGATGGTAAGGATGATGCAACTCAGAGAAGACCCAGGGCCTTGATTATGGTTGGTCAAGCCCACAGGCCAGTGAAGCTGGCGTGGGAGGTCGTCCCTTTGCCTTTTTCATTTGGGTAGAATGGAGGGCTTCTTTCTCCCCCTTCCTTTGGTCCCTGCCCCACCTCATCTCTCTAAGAAAGTTCCAAATAGAATTCGCTGCTCTACTGCAGCTTGCCCAAGCCTCCAGAGTCAGTTCACTGTCTGTGAGCTGGACATTCTCTGTTTGCAACCCTGGTCCCTCCCAGGCTGACCTTGATGGATGCATCCATGGACCACTAACTTTCTGACTTCCGGTTGTGTTTGTCCAACAGGAGACACTGGGCTGAAGGGCTGAAGGAGAGAAGAGTTGGGGTATTGCCTCTCCCGGCCCTGCCTGCTCAGTGTGTGAATGGGCGTGTTTCCCTGCTGAGAGCTGTGTCTTAGTGGGTTCTAGAGCGCCCATCTTCTCAACAGCGCGCCTTCCCTTCCCTTACTGATCTCCGTAGCCCTGTCTCCATTGTAGACGTTTGACTCGCCTCAATTACTCTGTCGGGGTGCACCAGATGTTTCTTGGCTGGACTCTGATAGTTACATACCTTAATGTGTTCCACGTTAAATTGGAGATAGAAGTGACACTGGCAGGTTTATTGTCCAGGCTCTGCCCCTTACTTCGGTCCCAATCCAGTGGTCCCAAACCAGCATGATCTACATCCCCTGGACTTGTTGAAAATGCACATTTCTACCAAATCAGAAATGGGGCGGGACCCAACAACTTGCCAGTCAAAGATGTTGACATGCACAGGGAAGTTCTGAGAACCTTGCTCCCTCTGTCCTGCCCGTCCATCCACACACTTGCATCTGGGGACACAGCTCAGTGGGGTGTTTATGCTCACGTATCTTGCCTGTCATACTTGACATAAAGCAGAGCCATGCACTTTTTGCCTCTGCCTTTCAAGAGAAGCAGCTCTGATGGTATGTTTGGAGTGTGTGCTTCTCAGTGACTTCACTTAAAAAGAGCCAACCAAGTTATTAACCATTTGCTCAGTAGAAGTTTAATGGAGAAATATCTGTTTGAAACAATCAGAAAGAACAACTCTTTTACAAACAAGTTATGGCAGTGACAAGTCAAAACCCCAGGCTGATATCCTGCTCCTTTAACCCACCCCTAGAAGAGGGAAGAGGCAGGTCAGAAGGAAAGATGGGGCTGTTTAAACGTTAGCTGGAGGGATTACAAAAATACACTCTGATGTAGCAACAGTGTTGTCATGAAACATGCCATGGGAGTGGGGAGGGGCAGGGAGAGACAACCAGAGGGGGCGGTTCTGCCCCCTGGGGGTGGAGACCTGGAGGCAAAGCATGCCTCAGTGCCGTGGGGAGGGAGGAATCCTGATGCCCAGCCGGCAGGTCTGGGGATGGAGACATGCTGTTTTGGGGGTCATCCGGACACCTGGGGAGACAGAAATGATTAAAATGGCAAACTGGATAGTTTTATTGATCCTTCAGACCTGTGTGCCCTAGTGACTGAGCAGTGGGAAGGAAGCAAAAGAAAAGCTACCAACCAAATAAACAGCCCCTGAAGAATCAAGAAGTGTTCCCTAAATCCCTTTACACACCTGCTTACTCTGGCGTGCATGCGTGCACACGGTGCCAAAAAAAATGTATACACATTTTGAGAAAGGAAAAAATTATTAAAATTGTTAATACTCAATATATACCGATAACAAAAGATGAATACAAGTCACGTTTGACCTCTGCAATTACAAGAGGTGTTCAAAGTGGTTACCATCAGCATCTAGACACTCCCGATTATGGTGAACTGCTGCTTGAGCGACGTTGACCAAAGTGTCCACTCGTATACATTTTTTTGGCACCCCTGGTATACAAGTGGACACTGGTCAACGT